GAGAAAGTTATAACCTATGAATAAGTTTGCTAATTTTGGTAAGTTTTTTTTGCACAACACTATATGCGTCAATGATTCAGCGATAGAGTACTGCCCAACAATGCACATGGTCCGGCGTTCGATTCCCGGCTAGCGCACACCTTTACCCCTCTCTTAATCGGTTATATAATCGTGATAAAGACAGAAGGTTGGACGTGAGGCTAGCAACCCCAACCGGTAAAGAAAAACACCATTACTAAGGGAACTTCAAAACTAAGGCATGAAGTCCGATATATGTTCCTCCAATCGGAATAGAAAACAAAGTATGGGCAACTATATGTTTTGAGGAAAACTCCTATCATAAAAAAGTTTGGCTTTACTTCACTGGATCAGAACTATAACTCAACTAGCTGATGAAATCAGGATACACTTTGATTACAGAATTTCATCATCATGAGCTGACATCGATTAGAGAACGATTGGACAACCAGCACCAGAGTACTGGACAACTGCTGTTTCACCAGCCTAGTTTGTGACTCTGTATCAACAGTACGCACCCATTCACCCACCTAACAACAGGGTTCGAGTCCAGGACCTTCCGGTTACAACAAGGCAGAGAGCTCATAGACCATTCCAGTTACTGAGACCCGACCTGATCCGATGGACAGTCCCAATGACTTCCAACTTCTGCTAATTCACAATATATATAGCGCGACCACTAGTGCAGTACACCCTATTTGCAACTCTAATATCGATAAAATACACCTATGTTCAATATTCACATTGTTTAGCCGAAATCGGTACAATTTACGACAATCATAGGCAAAGTGAACTGGAAAATGCAAGAGATTTGAAAAGTTGTCATTCAGGTTATCAATCTATAAGGTAAATAAACAATACCTAGTTTCAATGTACTGCTCAGCAGTCCCCTCCCTCCTCCTTTATGTCCGGCTGTGAAACCTGGCCATTAGGAGTGGAAGACATGAAAAGGCTGGATAGCTGTCTTCGACCATAGGTGCCTGCGTTCTACCTACTGAAGTGGTATAATAGGGTGAGCAATATTGAGGTGGTTAGGCTTTGGTCGAGTGCTAGGTAAGGAAGGAGGGGAAATCAATCGACGAGACTGTGAAGCTATATTGACTGAGATGATTACGACATGTGTTACACATGCATGCCTAGCCATCGCCTTCCTCGAAGACGGGCAATGTTAGCTGATATAGGATCAGGTCGGTCGGTCGGTTTTCGACATAGAACTTTGCACATATGTGCGGCAGTCCAAGTCGCCACACTCCATGTAGCACACAAAGCAAGAGAAGAAAGTAGAAGAAATGCATAATAATGACAGTAAACAGAGGTGTGAGACAAAGGAATAGTAATAACGGAGAACAAAACAGTTTCATTGGAAATCATAAGTCACAAGGAGTGGATGCATCTGCGCTAGCCATTGAGAACGATTTTGAGCCATGTCACCAATTGTTTCCAACCATTGGTTTTTACCGTCCCGAGGACCCCAACCAGGAAGTCTACACCTTCCTACGTGACTGGCTTAAACTAACTGTTGTGGATTTCATTGACTGGTGCCATGTTTTCGTTTGACCGCCGCTAGCTCTTTTCCAGCCTGGCCCTATATCAGCTAACATTGCCCGTCGAGGAAGGCGATGACTAGGCATACGTAATACATGTCCTAACCATCTCAGTCGATGTAATTTCACAGTCTCGTCGATTGATTTCCCCTCCCTGCTTACCTAGCACTCGACGCCTAACCTCAATATTGCTCACCTTATTATACCACTTCACGCGGGAGATAGAACGCAGACACCTATGATCGAAGACAGCTAATCTTTTCATGTCTTCCACTCTCAATGGCCAGGTCTCACAGCCAGTCATAAAGGAGGACGGAGCGGACTGTTGAGCAGTACACACGCCCTTTGGTCGATAGTCGGATATCGCGTCTACGCCAGAGACGGCGTAAACTGGCATATGCGAACCTAGCCCTCTGTATTCGTACTGAGATTTCGTCAGAGATCAACCCGTTGGGGCTGATGGTACTTCCCAAGTAAGTGAAGCGGTCAACGTGTTCTACCACTTCACTTCCTATTTCTAATCTAGGGGTCGGTGAAGTCCAATCCTGCAACATCATCTTACATTTTACAGGGGTGAATCGCATGCCAAACATACGAAGATTGTTGCTCAAGGTGTTCAGTAGACTCTGCATTTTGTCAGCGTCCTCGCCTAGAAGGACTATATCGTCCACATATTCTAAGTCAACGAGATTATTCCCTGGTAGCAAGTCAATCCCTGAGTCACTGAAGTGTGTTAGGGTTAAGTCCATTAGTACGTCTATGATGAAGTTGAATAGGAATGGGGATAATGGGCATCCTTGACGGACGCCACTAGTTGTCACCACTTCAGATGACAACTCGCCATAAGCCCTCACCTGGCTGCATGAGTACGAGTAGAGTGCCTTAATCAGTGCAATGTATTTTCTCGGCATTCCCTTTACAGCCAAGCATCGCCAGAGAACCTCCCGGTCGACAGTATCGAATGCCGCCTTTAGGTCAAGAAATATAATGATTGTTGGAC